AAATGTTTTGAGAATGATGAGGGCAATGAATGTACAAATGTGCTTTACACAATTGATGTATGTTTGGATTGTGATAAGAGTTGTATGAGCCCCTAATAAAATGATTAAAAATTAAAAAAAGGTCCCTTGGATTACCTTGGCTGAAATACGAAAGTAACCAATTGACCCTGTTCGATGAAAACACCTCTAACCCAAGGGGGAAGAAATCAGCTAGTTATAACATCCAACGCATATAGGCAAATTAAATAAAAATGCCTACTATTTGCATTAATGTATAGCAAGTTTCATACATCAGTGTTCACAAATTAAACACTACATTCTACTGAAAAATCAGTATCTTTCTTGATGACTACCACAGACCAGCATGAAGCGCAAGAAGTGTCCTGGCTGCCCCTCCATCCTCACAGCACTTCTCAGGAGGATGAATACTGACCCACCTGGATTTCTCCTTGTGGAACACTCCTGCCCTCAGATTTCGGTGCTCAGCTCTTGTTCTCTCTTTGGTTGGCCTGGCCAGGACTTCTGCCTGGAGCAGCGCCCGTCAGTTGGTCTCTCTGTAGCTTCAGGTATAAGTTGGCTTTGCCCAATCAGCTTCCACCAGAGGCCTGGATTGTGCATTCAGGGGTATTTTCTCCTTTGTTGGGGTCTCTGGGAAGTGCTAAGCATTAACATACTCAGCTGCTAACTGAAAGACTAAGGGTTGGCATCCACCCAGCTGATCCTCAGAAGAGAAACCCAGTATACCTAGTTCTAGACAATCAGCCATTAAAAGCCCCACGGAGTAAAGGTCTACTCTGTCACACATGGTCGCCACACGTGTTGGAGTCCACCTGATGGAATTGGTTGGTCTGGTTTGTTAATGACATTTTGTTCCCCATTTGGTGATTGGTTTCCCTATTTATTTTCTGTAAACCAAGAAGGCTGGGTGGAGACAAAGATTTTGATTTCTAGTTGTGTAGAATCCTGAAAATTATTTCTAAGGGTATCACACTTAATTATTGACCTTGCTAAAAAGAAAAAAAGAAAAAGAGATAGAGAAACAACAATCTCGCACATTGAACACCAACCAGGGTTTGATCTTTTATCAAGTTACCCATTATTGTGTACAATGAATGGTAAGGGCAGTTTGGGCTAGTCATCAATATCGCTTAATACAAAAAGGATGAACACTCTGAGATTCTTTTAAATGCTTCTTTTATTTCATTGGTTGCCCATTGGGTGAATGAACTGAATAGTACAACCAGAACATAGAATTGATACAAATTATAGACTCCTGTTTACACTGTAAGGTAATGAATGAGGGGATTCTTTTAGGGTTACAGAAAGGTTTAGTAGAAATGTGACCAGTTGCATGACTGAAAGAATGTTTTGGTGAAGTGCTGTTACTTCCTGAAAATCAAGAGTGAAATGTAGTTCCCGTACAAGTGGCAATTAATCTCTTAAGTACAGTTATTTAGTGAATTGATATCTTCGTGTTTTGGATATTGGTGATATTGTTTCTGTAATTAAACAAAGCATTTAAGATTTATTCATCATAGTCAGGCTTCTGAATATAAACAAACTTTTGGCAAATAATATTTATACAGAAAAATAGTTTTAGATCCTCTCAAATCCCAGAATTATTCTATAAAATTACATTATAAATAAATAAAAAGCAAAATCTGTTGTACATATATTTGTACATCTATGTATTTGCCTTGCCTCCTCCCTATTGCAAATGGTATATTTATGACTCTTTGCATATTATAATCACAATTCTGGAAAATGGCTAGCATAGTAAAAATACAGTCTTCTATATTTGCTTGAGGATTCAGGTGATGTTTTTAATGATCCATTATGAAAGGGCTGAAGAGAGTCATGTGTGAAGAATCTTTAAAGTAAAAAGTCATGACGCCAAAACCAAAAAGAAAGACAAAATGACCCCAGTCTACAAAAATACTTCACGTATTCCCACAAATTACCTTTTCGTGATGTATACCAGATTTTCAATGAGTCTAAATGAATAGTTGTTATCAAAGACAACAAGAAAAAAGAAAGTAAGTTTGAATGCTATAGGCAAGTTGTAGCATAACTACATTGTTATAGTTGAGAAAATTATGAATATCAGTAATACATAACGATGAAACTACCAAAATAATACAGGTTAGATACAATACTTTCCCACAAATTAAAACAAACGCAACAATACAAGCCCTATACAAGATTACATTTAGAATGTGATTTTCGTTTGAAAGGGTGATCAAATCTATGATATATGATACATGGATCATAATTAAACTTTGACCAACGTGAATTAAAAAGGAGGATTTCTTCTTATCTCAAACAAAGAATGATCTGGTTAGTGCATCTAGTTTGCAGTACAGGCAGTGATGCCAAAATTTAAAATATTTTACATTCAACCTCAAAAGTCAAAATACTTCAATCACTAATATGTTCACAAGGAAAATGGATGTTTTAAACAATTACACATAATATTCATTTATAACAGCTGTTTTGTTTTTTTAAACAATAATTTAAAAACTATGTAGGTACTGTATAGGATATGTGCAACATATAAAATGTGAAGTATGAAATATTTGGTACGATAGTGCTTAAAATAAACTTTAAAACAAGCTTTCCAAACAAAATTTAATTGTATCGCTATTACCTTGAAGATCAACCAAGTATTTAAAAAAGTAAACAACATTAAAATATGTTTCATCCATATATAGTATATATATGTATGTGTATATATAATATGTATGTACGTGTATTAAAGTTTTTTCTACTTTTGAGACAAAATATGATTTAAGGTGAAATCATTAAAAGAACTATTTTCCCATGCTGTAGTCAGTTACAACCTTTTAATCCAACTTTTGAAACGCAAAACAGGAATGCTTTTTTTTTTTTTTAAGTGAAACTATCTACTTTTTTGTTTACATAGTAATTGAGATTAAAGTCACAGTCAAATTTTCAGTGACTGAACTGGAATTGACTGACATTAGAATATTATACAGATCTCCCCCCTACGGCTTCCTTGTTGGACTAGGTGTTTATGTTTGAAAAGTTATTCATTAACAGGCAACCGGATGGTGAGTCGGAAAGACATCCGTCTTTAGATTCGATTAGACGGTTGGCATGGGGTTTTTCATTCTTGTCAAGCTGGATGAAGTCGGGCAAAATCTAGGCACTTCTACAAAGTCTCTCTTATAAAACAACTTTAAAAATATACTTGTAAAATAATACCTTCAAGACTTTGTTTGTGGGGTATGAAGCTCATACCGTGCAAAGTTTCTTTTTCAATCTTTGTAGTGTTACTCTGGAATCACATGATTCCATGCGGCATCTCCAAGCTAACCAAATACCACACTTGGACGTGTCCCTGTACTTGTGCTTGCATTTCCACTCAACTTTTAGACCTGTTTTGGACAGGTGTTGGTTTTACTTCACTTCTTGTTCTTTGCTGCAGCATTCATCTCGTGAAGAAGTGAAACATACCCTCTAGGCAGTGGGTAAATGAAATGACCATCATTGGAAGTGTCGAATCAAAACGGTTCTTGGAATAAGAGTTGTCACTACTGCTAATTGCTTATTGCTAAATTTTGAGAGATTCGGAATCGAAATGAGTAAATTGGTTGGGCTGTGTGCATCAGCTGTAGTGATGGAGATAAGACAATAATCCTAGGACAGAAACTATGTTTAGGAACCCTTGGAAAGTAAACTTGACCCTTTATGACTTTAGACATCACAGCTGGTATCGGGTAGTTAACTATCTTAGGTTGGAAGATACTAAGCATACCATATTTAATACTCATATATGATTTAGCAGCACTAGCTTCTTAGAATTTGTGGTGTGTCCAGAAGCACTAAAGCTTTATTTAGCATGCAGTTTGTGGCAATTCTATTGAGGAGGAAACAGGATAGTATGTACAGTAACAATGTTTAGTTATTCTCAATGCAGATTCTTGGCATTCCATTCCATTTCTGTTGATTATTTCAGAATTATCTGTGAGACAGAGAGAGAGAGAGAGAGAGAAACATGAGTTAGACATTTCTTCTGGAAGGGAAAAGAACCAATTTTAATCTTTGAAAATAAGATTATTTTTCAGTTTTTCCTTGTTCTGATGCAATATAGTGTATCACAAACCCCACCTTTCATGCTGCAACATTTCCCATGGAAACGTTTCTGAGAATGATGAGGCCAATGCACAGTGTTTTCTGCACAACTGTGTCAACACATAGGTGAGCATGCAGTGTGTTCAGACCCCAATCTCTTTTTCATTTCATAGAAATTATGCTTCATGTGATCATTCCATTAACAGTTGTTAAAACAATCAGGAAGTCTGCTCAGATGATTAGTTCTGAACACCTGAAAAATTATTTCTAAAGCATTTAAAAATCAAGCACTATTTTTCAATCTATGTCCTTAAGGGTTGAAACGAGTCAGACCTGACTTGATGACAGGGAGCTTAGGTTGTTGGTCCATTAATTTTCATTCATACCCAGCGATGTCTTCCCATTAAAAGAAATTTGGTTCCAAGCTATACTAGCAATCAACTACAAGTTCAGGAAAAGTGTACGGGTCTCAGAAATAAATGGGATAATAGTCGAATCAAGCATTTCCAGTGCTTCCCAAAGTGGGCAATAATCCCACTCCCAGTGGGGACATGGAAACGATTCAGGGAGACTGCAAAAACAGATACCAACACTTTATCCTGGAATATGGGCAAAATACAACAGTTTTTAATTGCCGGGGTGGGGTACTGAGTTTGTTTTTTTTTTCTGAAAAGGAGGTAGTATGCCAACTAAGTTTGGGAAACTATGGATTTCAGACCATTCTGAATAAATTCAAAAGCACAGATAAAGGTTAACTACCAAGTGCAAATGCGCTCCCAGAAATTAGATCCACCTCCATACTATGCAAAGGAGAGGGAGGGAGCTTGTCCTGGGTGACCCTGTCTGTTGGATGTTAAGCTTCAAAGTCCAATTTTACACATATCCTCACCAACATATTTATTCTCTGAGGAAAGCTCTGACCACACTTAATGTAATTAGTAAACCAGACATGTATTAATTAAGCAGTTGAGAATCTTTGTTTAGGAAATAACAGGCAACAATGCGTTATGGTGGGCTTTAGCTAATATTCCTGCAGAATGGGAATTTGATTACTCAATAAAAGCCCTATTTCTACCAAAGTAGTTTATTTACCCATTAAGTTAAAAGTTGTAAAGGTGGTTGTTTTTCCTTATAAGGGACTGTTTCTGAAGGTTATGGACCAGCTTTAGTGTACTCAAATAAGTTATTCATATTCTTCATTTTATTAACTATATAGATGAGTGTAGGATTGCTAAACCGATAAAAACAGGACGATCTCAATGATATTAAATGTATGTGCTAACGGGGAGCTTCCTTTCAAAGAATAAAATTAATGGGAAGTGCTATTCCTTGCTCTATGACTGATAGACACGAATTTTTAAAAATGCTATAAATGTTATACTTGGAAATATCACTATAGTATCTTTGAATAAGTAACACAAGTTCTCTAGATGATCGGATCACAACTTCAGCTATTAAGTTAGATATTTGATTAAATGGGAATTACTCTACTTCATCTCTTAGCTTCCACATGGTTTCTTCTGTTTCCCAAACAGAATGTTGTCCAGGACAAGGATTCTTCTTTTCTTTTACCCTTCGTTTACGTCAGCCAGTCTCTTAAACATTTAGCGGAAAGTATCTTGCAAGGTCTTAAGTTGACATGTAATCATACACATTTTTGACTATATCTACAATCTTGCTTTGGACTGAAGCTAGAATGCCATGCAGAGTGAAATGCATTCTCACCAGGAGAGAAAAGCATGCTCCAGGAAACGTGGCAAGAGGGGAATGAGAATAGGCAAGTGTATAATCTAGAAATTAGTTACAACTGTATTTTGGACTTAGACTTGACACAGAAACATGTATGACCCCCTAGGTTTAATTGCACTATAATCAGCCTTGATGTTAACTAAAAACATTGACTAGATTCACCCAGACTGTTGTCCTCACTGCTCAGCTCACCTGTTCTTTAATCATTAGATAAAGATAAAAAATAGTAATCATCCCTGGGAGTCCTACTGTATTAGTCTAGGTACTTTGGAGAAACAAAGCCACGGCGACTCACATATAAGAGAGTTTTATGTAAAGAAAAGGTGCATCACGAAAACATCCCAACCCAATGCTGCCCAAGCCCACAAGTCCAACATGAACCCATTAACCCAACACCAGTCCACAAAGTCTTCCACCTCACAAAACAGAGGCAATGATGCCGACTGCAGGAAGAAAGCTGAGTCAATGAACGAACAAGCATCTCAGCACTAGCAGGGGTCTCCACACGGCTGCTCCAGCACCCAGGGCTGCATCGGGATAGGTCCATGTAGCTTCTCCTTGGGGATGTCCCGTATGAAGTCAATCTTGCAATCTTGCAAGCTGGAGCAGGGAACTGCCAAGGCAGCTGCACCCTGGTGCGACCATCACAAAGCAAGAGACCCGAGAACTAGAAAGGCAAGGCTTCATCACCCATTTATCCCTCCGCCTTTCAACCAGCACCACATGTGATTATCGGCCAGGCTGGCACAATTAACTAACTCACCTACACTCTTAACTGCAATTGCTACCGGGCATTGAGGCCAGAAAGCAGTTTGGCCATACCCTGATTTTTGACAAGCTTGTAGCCTATATAAGCCACACTCTGTCATCGAGTCAATTCTAACTCATAGCAACCTTATAGGACTGAGTAGAACTGCTCCCGTGGGTTTCTGAGACTGTAGTTCTTTATGGGAGCAGAAGGCCTCCACTTTCTCCCACAGAGAGGCTGGTCGTATCAAACTGCAGCCTTAAGGTTAGCAGCCCTACATGTACATAGAGGCTCATTTGACCATAAAGAGGAGCTTTGGGTGACTCTTAGAAGTTCCATTCACAGCAGCAGCATTTTTCTTGACCATGTCTTCTGTTCATTCATTCCTACCCCCCACGCCCCTCGCCCCTGAGAAACACAGCTTGGCATAGACTCTGAATCAAGTGTGATCTGGGGCGAGAAATATCTGAGGTACAGACAGAATGAGAATCCAGATGAAGAACAGCCACCCACTCAGGGTCTCTCATTCAACTACTATGGGTTTGAGGCTGCTTTATTGTTAGGAGACATAATGATCTTACAGGTTCCAGGGCCCAAGGTTGGGTGGGTCTTTCCTAGCCGGAAGATCATCTTCATAGAGTGTTGGCAAAAAAAGGGGAGTCAAGAGTATGTATGGGGGAGGCACACTGTTACTGTTGAATTTTTATATGGCTTCTCTTTAGTCAGATGATAGTTTTTAGTGTAGACTGCAGGAGAATAATGTGGGATGGACGGTACCACTTCATAAGATGAAAAGGTAGATGTATTTTGTGTTGCCCTGCTGCTGCCTTTACTCGGAAATGTTCTCCCCTAACAATTACCAACAGTTTAGCACATGGACACTTGGATAAGCTTTGTCAGTCTTTGTAATTTTTATGGTCCAGAGGGTCAAACACTTTCAGAAGTGGTTGGAATCCTTTAATAAAATAACATTCCTTATAAAACAATCTTAGATTGGGACCTGGACCGGCTACAAATCTGACATTGACCGACCCTGACTTTGAGCTTGTCCATGAACAAAAAGCGAAAGAAAAGGTGGTTCACCAACGTGTCCGGCTTTTTTCCTGCACTTGGCCCACACGGAGGCTGTTGCCGAAAGTCCTTTGTTCAACCTGTGCCACTGGGACTCGGCCTAGAAAACTCGATCATGCAGTTCAGCTCTGTCAGAGGGACCAACCTGAGTCAAAAGCAACTCGAGGCACCTAACAAGAAAAACTACTGTAGTAACCGTAAAGGAGACTCTGACCAATGGGGATCTTGTGGGTGGGGTCAGAACTGTGCTCCATCATTGGGGTTTTAGTGGCTCCTTTCTTCCAAGGAGCCTGGGTGGGCTCAAATCTCTACTCTTTCAGGTAGCAGCCAAGGACGTGGTGTCACCAACCTACAGGCTCCAGATGACTGTACACTGCTGGGATTTTAGAAGGAGCTCTGGTGACCCTCTGGGGTAAGCACCGGGCCACTAGCCACAAGATCAGTGGCTCAAATGGATCAAACTGCTCTCAGAGAGAATCGGCTCTTTGCTCCCCCAAAGTCATACAGCTTCCGAAACCCCCAGGCGTAGGTCTTTTCTGCCCTGTAGGTCAGTGGTGGTTGAAATCAACGTGATGGGAACAGCTTTGGTTTGGGGTGAATCTTTATGGGATCAGGTTGCATCTTTATCCCACGCAGCTGTTAGTGGCTTTACATGACACTCTGAGGATTTTTTTTATTTTTTATTAGAGTCTGATGCGCTAAGTCAGTATTGCCAATTCCATTGTGCTGCCATGGGAAAATATGAGTGGACTCCAAAAAGTTCGTGGGAAAAAATGGAATGAAAGGATCATGGAATTTACCTACAATCTTTCTGAAGACCTTTCATACAACACAGACAAGTTTTATTTAGCTTGCACTATGTATAGAATGCTGCAAAACAGGAATTTAGAGAGAGTAGTTAGCTCTTGCTCTCTGTCACTGGAATCCCCTCCAGGACATGAGTGACAGCCTAAGTTGGAACCAGGGGAGACAGTGATTCCAAGGAGCATACCTGTATCTCTTACAGGTCCAGGTTAGGCAGGGAGCCAGAAGAACCCCTGGGAGATTAGGCAACTGGACTCGACTGAATGGAGCTAAGAGCACCAGGGGGAGAAAACAGGGGCTGTCTGTAGGAGCCAGATGGCAGAAGCACTGAAGAATTCATAAGGCCGAGGGGCTGTGGGTGCCTGGGTGGCCAACCGTGTCCTGCCCGAGGCCTCCTCCCAATGCATAGTGTACACAGGGCTGGTCCAGCCACAGAGCACCCCAATCAACCTCAGTGCCACTGCTTCAGCCTCTGAGAAACTCTAGCCAACTACTGTGTTTCTCTCCAAATAACATAC